ATACATTGTCAACCCAGAGGACTGATTAGAGGTGACGTCCAGTTACCAGTAATACTCTCTACGACTAGTTAGATGTGGTGCTCAGTCACAAGTAAGAAAGTAATCAGCAGAATTGTGTTGATGTTTTACGTGGCTGAAACAATAATTCAAGTGCAGCATGGTTTTTCTTTGTCTACCTGGAAACCAAGTGGCTACTGTAATCTTTGGAAGCCTGCACATAATCAAGCAAGAAAGGCCACAGATCTGTTTTCATCCCTAAAAAATAATATCAAATGCCTCTGAACCTGCAATTCCGTCTCTTTTGGTTTTAAAATCGAAACTCAGTAATAGGTGATAATATTTTTGCATTAGCTTATTAATTTTTGATGATTTATTTTACATCGCCATCACAGTGGCGGCGCGACACGACTATTTTAAATACTCGTATATTTTCCTTACCTATCTGATTAGTAAGCTGAAGTGGTAATGGGCCGGCCATATAGCTCGAAGAACCGACAACCGTTGGGGAAAAAAGGTTCTCGAGTGACAGCCTCGTACCGGTAGGCGAAGTGTAGGGCGATCCCCACTAGATGGAGTTTTGACCTGGTACAACATGCAGGAAGTCGATGGATGCAGGTGGCTCAGGACCGTGCTTTGTGACATACCTTGGGGAAGGCATATGTTCAGCAGTGGACTTGTGAAGGGCTGTAATGATGATGATGATGATATTTTCCTTAATTTCCTTAGATCACAAATGTCATAGAACAAGACAACAAAATTGTCACTCCAACTATTCTCTAATCCAAATATCATAAATAAAATGATATTAAATAGAAAACCACGAACGAGAACGAGAAAAATACGTTGATTTTTCAACTAAACATCGTACTCATGTAATAATCTAAGATTGAAATTTATAATATGACAAACAGGTGACAGATGTGAAAAGATTTGTGTCAAACAGTAGCTTTGAAGAATTGTTTTTGGATAACGAAAGACAATAGAATAAAAGGTCGGCAAATATTAAAATAAATACTTGTGGACTAAGATTCCGACTTTTATACATCAACATCGAATTTTCTAACAAAACAACATTTTATATATACTATTATATTGTATTAATAAATAAAACGTTCGAGGGTTGCCACCTCATAATACGGTTAAAATTATTTTTAATAAAAATTGTTAAATTCATTTTTTTTTAAATTATACCAATCAAAAGTAAACATTGTAAATCCATATCCACAACAGCCTATAAAAATCCACTACTGAACATAGGCCACTCCCATAGATTGCCTCATACCAAGAATAGAAGAAAATAGAAGAGAATTTTGCCATAGTTGCCACGCTTGACAGACGGGTTTGCAACCTCAATTTTTAGTATTGTCAGTTATTATCACGAAGATGCTGCTGCCCATCTTCTGTTTTAATTTTCCTCTGTTACCACTTATGACACCTACTGGACGATATGGGGTAGTGGATATTTTTACAGCGCCTTCTTTACATTGTTGGCTGTGACTACACAGTGTAATAATGTAAAGAACTAAGTAATGTTGCCCACTTTTCCCCGGCAATAATGAAAGTTTAACAAATGTAAGCATATATAAGTAATTTACCCTCGTCGAGTTTCTTTACATAATTATGTTAAAATGTAGATAATTGTATTGCCAACACGACGGTATAAGGTTCCATTCACAAAAATAGGCAAATCTTAGGGTTGCCGCGATTTGAAATTTTGATAATTGAGTAAAAGAGTGTGCTGCGACGGAAAAACGCTGAACGCACAAATCTGTGCAATAAAAAAGAAGCAGAATAATAGCGGCGTATGAGACAGTCAACGGGTAAAAGAGAGTGCGCGTATTCAATTCTGATAAATCACTCATAATAAAGTAAGACGAAGAATAAAAGTGACGCGTGGAGATGATCGATATAAGTCCGTATGTTGTACTATAAAAAAAATAGTTACTAAAGCAAAACATCTTTTTATTAACACTTTAACGCAATTTCTCCCAATGTTAATATCAAAAAATCCCCAATTCAGTGTAATGTATAGCTTATTCTCATATCATATCTCTCAGCTTTAAATAGATGTAAGAATAAGATATCTATAAGTTAGTAATTTATCTAGAAACTAAATATACAAAGAAAATCAATGTACTTTAAACAAATGAATATCTCGAATGCTGCGGGGTAAGTAGTCCCGCTCAAATTGCACTGGCGATCCGTACACCTGGCCTTCTTTACAAGGCTTCGTCATTAAACACGCTGTGGCTATTGTCACGTCCTCGTTCCAACGTGCCTGGGAATTTATCCCGCTGCGTCAATCCCTAATCATTTAATACACTACTGCAAGGTTTGTTTACTCTTATTTGTTTATTTAAACAAATTGCATTCGAATAAGCAAGGAGAACGTTTTATATTCCACGCATATGTTCTTTTATGTATGTTCGACGATTCCTCGGACATAAGAGATTTTCCTTTTAGAGTATGGGTGACAAACTAGCACATACCTACCTAATGGCAATTGCATGCTATGGCATATAGACATCTACTTCTATCTTCGATTTAGAATCAAAACGCAGATGCGTTGTTAATGAATGATCTTTTTTGTTTAATAAGAATATAAGTCAGAGGTGGTCCCATAAAAATTTGCAGAAAAAGTTCCATCCATAAGAGTAAAAAGGGGATGTAGATTTTAATATTTACGGAAATTTAATTGTTACCTTAAACTAGTGATATTGTATAGACCATTCAAAAGGAAATTATTAAACTTTCAATAAAAATTACAGACCGACTTCAAAACTGAAAAACAAATTATTACCACAGTGGCTCCTGAAGTCATTCTACGATACGATATGTGTTAGCACCGTGCTTTTATGAGAAAATTATTTTAATTCTTACTTTAGAAGACCATTTGTACTTTTTATATAAAGTTTAATTATCTTTATATAAAAAATCTGATGCTTAGTCTCGCTAAAACTCAAAAACGGCTTGACCAATTTTGATGAAATTCTTTGCTTGTTTGAATGGGTCCCTAGATAGTTTAGTCTACTGTCTATTGTCAGGATCTACAAATTACCCGAAGCAAAAAATAAAATAAATAAAATTGAAATGTCTGTTTTTAATACCAAAATAATAGTTTTTCACCAAATGCATAAGAAATTATATACGGTACTTATTAAATCAAAATATATTAATATTAAATTAAAAATTATATTAATGTTAAAACACAATTTTTTTTAAATTTTTGTCCGTCTATCTGTTTGTTCTAGTCAATTTCCGAAACGACTGGACAGACTTTGAGGGGATTTTCACTTTCAGATAGCTGATGTCATAAGGTTTAACTTAGGCTACTTCTATTTTATAAAAATAATTAGGGTTCCGCCCAAAAAAAAACGAAAACCCAAAATTTCACGCGGGTAAAGTCGCCGGGTACAGCCAGTTATAAATTAAAAAGTAGACAAAAAAACTATAGATGTACACCATTGAACATACAAGACCTCCTCTTTTGTATTTTCAAAGTTACAAATTGAATATAAGCGAACAGGCACTTATAGTTTTTCTTTATTGCTCATGCGTCTGCCAGTGATCGTGTAACTTATTTTGGAGTCATAATATTCACACTTTTTTATAGGCTAAGGTGACAAACGAGCACACAGCCCACCTGATGGTGAATGGTTGCTGTGGCCTATAGACATCTACATATATCCTCGATACGAATCAATGTGTAGAGGCGTTGTCACCCGTGAGAACTAAGATAAAATGAATCGTTTTCAGTAAAAGAGGTTCTTTACACTCAACATACGAAACACAGCAGCGTTAAGCTACTTTTTTACGCAGGTATTCTATGAGGATCGTTTTCCTTCCCCGGTCGTACCGACCCATTCGTGCTACAACTATACTACTAGGTAATATAACTGCAGCATGGCTGTACCACGTAAAACATTTTATTTATTTCTTTATTTATTCACATAGACTCACTTACAAGCTCTTATGAATATAGATAAAGAAGAAGAAGAATATTGAAACTATAATCTATACTGGATGACCTTTTTTTGTATTATAGTATTCTATGTTATTTACCATCTGTATTAAAACTAGGGTGTAACATGTGAACGGAGTAGAAACCTATGGCACTGAAATTGACAAAAAATAAGAACAATAAATTTTTAATTAAATAAATAAATTAATTAAAATCAATCGAAATTCAGATTATATCCACCCTACTTTACGAACTGCAATAAAACAATAAATTTAGAAGCCATCTTTGACCTTGTCACTTCGCGGGGTCACAGGCTAGGGTGGATATGATTTGAAATACGATAGATTTTTATTAATTAATTTATTTAATTTTTTTTCATTTTTTGTTAAATATCAGTGGCATAGGCTTCTTCTACATTCACATGTTACACCCCATTTTTCCCAGACGGTAAAAAAGTCATTCAGTGTAATATATAAAACACAAAAAAAAATCTACCATGTCCGTTATAGACTTTGAAACCATCCAACCAATGTGCCCCTAATCGGTTTCAGTAGAAAGTCAATAATGCTCAGATGGTTTTAGACTACTGAAACAACGCATTAGGCACTATATAAAAAACCATTGAAGTAATATGTACTTACGTATAGGGTAGGGGTAAAGTTTTCGGTACTTTTAAGACAGGTATTTGAGGATAAAGTACCGGTATTTCGGTATTTCATTATAAGTGATCTATTTTTGCAAGGTTGTTTAAAGACTACAGAACGCTCGATTTCTACAGTACATAGTGTTGTTCATACTGCTGATGAGTTTTCATGTGACATCAATCACGAATAATCTCGATTGTAGAAAAATAAACTCAAAATCAACTACGCAAAACACTGCATGCATATCGTCGCTGATTTTACTACCTTTGCTGGCTACTTACCGACTGAAGACGTGCATTGAAAATACTCTGAAAGACTTAAACTCTGCTATCAAGTTCTCCCAAAAAGAGTTTGAATTGCTACATTCCATTCAAAAGAGCTCGAAAATAGTCAAGATGACAGTGAAAGGACTTTGCCGACGAGATGCGACACTTCTAACTGCAGAAGCAGCCCTTAAATATATGCTACGAAAATTAAATAACCAAAAAACAAGTTTATCTAAATCTCTGGTGGAAGCTATAAGAAAGCACATATCGGAAAGACGACAACCTATGACTGCAATTTTACAGTTTCTTCATAACCCGGAAGAATATTTCAAAGAAAATGCAGAGACACGCCGAGATAACCATCCAGAGTTTCCTAGAATGAGTTGTGATGAAATGATTACGTCAATTACTGAACTTATTCATCGATTGCAAGAACAGACTCTCAACTCTCTACAAAACAGGAGTGCGATGAGCTCACCTGCTGCCGATTATGCTTCTGGTGAAAAGGAAACAAGTGAAGATGACACAGGTACTAATAGCAGTACTTCATCTGTGATGGGGAAGGAACTTAATAAAGCAATAGAAAAATCTATGACCAAAAAGCAAAACAGATCCCAGATCGGCGAGGAAGAAGAAGATAACATTCAAACATTAATTCGAATTGAAATGAAATTGTATGAAAATGGAGGTACGGGAGGCAGGTTTTCGGACGCAGCTTACAATTAAGTCTTAAGTATTCCTCCCACGAGCGTTGCATCAGAAAGGGTCTTTTCAGCTGCAAGCCAGTTTGGACGCGTATTGTTTTCTTCGTTCGATTTTGCAACAAACGCTATTTGCCTGATTAAAGGACTTGAATACTTGAGTTAAATTAAGCCTGCGTCTACATTTTGATTTATTTTGGAATAATTACTTTCGATACTTTCATTTGCAATTTGATGTTGTTTTAACAATAGTTCATATTCGTAGTTTAAACTGTGACTAAGAGAGATATTTAAAATTGTTAAATGTTTTCTTATCATTGGACAGTAAGACTGATTTTATTACCAATTGTGATATTTGTACCAATGAAACGATATAAAAACTCAATTTTTTCTTAATTACCTTTATTTTATCTCATTTTGTAGATTCTAGGAAGTTGATAAATAGTTTCAGTGTTTCTGCCATGTAGCGTAGGAAATTGCTTCAATTGCTCTCCACAAATAAGACTTACCAATCGTTATTGGAATCATTTAAATAGTTATTAGCAGTATTTAAAAATACCGAAATAATATCGAAATATCGGTTTACCGGTTATTGTAATTTCAATACCGGTATCAATACCGGTATGAAAATCATTCCAGTATTCCATGCCCTACTTACGTACTATAACAGCTATTTCAAACACAAAAATGTACGCTACTCTGTGTTTGCGCGGTTGGTTTTTTTTATCATAGAATAAACATAGATACTGTTAACAAATTAACAGTAGGTAATAGTAGATTGTATTGTTAAATAGGTAAATTATATCGATTTTTTTTTAAATTTTGTAATTTTTTTGTATATTGTATTTTCTTAACAATTACATTTTAGAATATTTTATCTCAATATTTTAAACGTTATCTATGTCAAATATAAAAAACATACTAAATGTATGTTTAACAAAACTTATTAATATGACATTAAAATTACAAATATATTTATTTAAATTAGAATAAGAGTCGTTCATAAATGCTGCGCACGCGAGAGTTAAAAATGGACGAATTTATTCCACTTTGACTTGTTGTGTATCCCACTTTGTTTCTACAAAAAGATGTGTATAATAATATATTCGTCCTATACTTAAGTACCCAAAGAAATGTCGCATCTTAACAAATTAATTTCATAATCTATCTTCCATGACACGAGATGGCGTCTTAGGAATAATTTGTTTTATTATTAATCTATAATACTTTTTTATTGATTAAGTATCTTATTAACCGATGGAAAGTAATTCCTTGGTTTTTAACGACATTTCTTGAATTATTTGTGCAATCTCTAAGTACACACGACGGCATATCTTCATCAAGAGATTTGTTTTTAAATCAACACAACACGTAACAACTCTACAAGCGCCTAGCGAGTGACTGATTAAAGTGCGGTGTAAGCACCGCAGTTGAATGGAACAGATTATATTATATACGTGGTATATATTTTATACGTGGTAGAGCCACACTGCAGTTATATTAGTAGTATAGTAGCACGAATGGGTCGGCTCGACCGGGGAAGGACCACGCTCTCACAGAATACCAGCGTGAAATAGTAGCTTAATGCTGCTGTATTTCGTATGGTGAGTGTAGAGAACCGGAGACCCTTTTTACTGGAAACGAGGCATTCCATCTCAGTCCTCACAGGTGACAACGCATCTGCATTTTGATTTTTAATGGAGGATAGATGTAGATGTCTATGGGCCGCAGCAACCACTTCCCATCAGGTGGACTGTGTACTCGTTTGTCACCCTATTCTATAAAAAAAAAGATTAGCTGAAAGCAGTGTCGCCTCTAGTACGTAGTACATAATAGTTCAATGTAAAAAACTCATTTTTTCTAACAAATAAACAACAAGTATTTCTTTTTTTTTGCGTAGTATCACAAGCCGAGTATTCCCTAGTCCTGAATAATAGCAGCACTGTTTGAAGACCGTGCAGTTGGGAAACGAATGTACTTGTGTAGAGCAACGGCGAGGGTACTGCGGTGCGGGGCACGGGGCGGGCCGACGTTGTTCACTGAGTCTGATAGACAATATATGTGGTAGACGCGAGCGTGTTTTATAGTACCATTTGACCATTTTAAGTGCAGTTTCTGAAAAATATAATAACGAGAATCGTAAATTACCGTTATAGCTAGTTATTAAGTAAAATTTTATTGTAAATAATACAAATGACGGCCATTCTTACGTTTCGCTGATTTTTTTGTTGATAAAATTGTTTATCCGAATGCGAATACATTACATAATTTAATTTAACATTCGAAAACTGATAAAGAAACTATAAAAAGAAAGTGTCACGAAAATATTTGGGAGTGCAACCCTTGATATATTTTTCTTTTAGTAATAAAAAATAAACGTTTTTAAGTTTTAAGTATGTGCATAATATTACTAAATGATAATGAGTATTAAATTATCCAAAATCATTTCATTTCCATTTTCGTGACCACCCCTAGCATACACGCTGCCTCGTAAATACCTGCGGGTGGCGGCATCCCTGGAAATCAAAGGCGTTTCACAACCGTAATGGTGGCCACACACAGTCAGTTCAACTGATCATTCCAACTGATCGGTTCAAACTAGAACCGTTGATATTTTTTAAAATATCTGAATTTCGATATAACCACAAATAAACTTATATGTAAAACTCCAATATTAATATATTTATAATGATTAATATATCAAACATCCACTATTTTAAAAAAATATCAATAGTTTTAGTTTGAACTGATCAGTTGGAATGAGCAGTTAAACTGACCGTGTGTGGCGTCCATAAGGTCTTAAAACTGTTATAACAGTCAGTTTCAACTCTACATAAAAAAAGGAATGTTCCCTAACAGTAAACCAATCAAGCTCAGTTTTGTCTTCTGTACATGTGCCCAGCACCTTAATCTGCTAACGTGTAAGGAACAAAAGGAAGGAGGGAGGTTATTTGCGGCTATTTCAATTATACGCCTTATGAAATACTTGTCTTGCGGGGTGTTGATTTCGCGGATACCGCAATATCGACGACGATGCTATAGGCGATTGGAATGTTTCTAGTACAGTTGCTATAGTCATGAGCGAAGCGTTTTTCTGTTTCTTTCTTTTTATTTAATTTTATTTATTAAACTCGTTATCATAACAGTCTATTTCAAATTTACTGCTGAATATTCTTTCTTTTTATTTAATTTTATTTATTAAACTCGTTATCATAACAGTCTATTTCAAATTTACTGCTGTTATCCATCATATATTGCCACAGATCGGACCCATTAGCTATTATAATAACCGTATAATTGTTTTATCAGCAAGATTTCTTTTCGTAGACTATTTTTTAAATTTTTTCTTATGTACACTTAAACTTATCTAAGACTTGAGTTCGACTGCTTACTGTTACTGAAATAACTGCTTTTTAGCTAGTTATTACCATCATTTTAGTATAACATATAAACCAATTCATTCCTAACTATATTCTTTCCTTCATTATCCACTTCTTAGTCTACGTTTGTCCATGAGTCTCTCCAGTCAGTCCCATTGTAGCGTCCATACAATTGCTCCTTGCCATAATCATCACCTTTCGTATTGAGCGTTATCACCCCTAGAGACTACAATGGAAGTCTCACACTCTCACACTCGTTTCTTATAATTAATTATATTGGTTTTCGATAACATTCATACCGTAACAGAGCAGTGCCCGCACTGCTACTTGGCTGCAAGAACAGGTAAGAGAGTCGTCCCTACCCAGACGAACTTCTAGACAGAAAATCAATCCTACAACCTAAAGGTTGGTTTACGCTAGATGAGCCAAGCACGAGCGGAGCATGAGCCGAGCACGAGCGGAGCACGAGCCGAGCATGAGCGGAGCATGAGCCGAGCACGAGCGGAGCATGAGCCGAGCACGAGCGGAGCATGAGCCGAGCACGAGCGGAGCATGAGCCGAGCACGAGCGGAGCATGAGCCGAGCACGAGCGACACCAGCACAGTGCATGAGCCGAGCACGAGCGGAGCATGAGCCGAGCACGAGCGGAGCATGAGCCGAGCACGAGCGTAGAGCCCACGAGCGGATCATGAGACGAGCACGAGCGGAGCATGAGCCGAGCATAAATTCGTGTAATCGTTTCATAGACTTACAAGCCTAGAACGAGCGCGCTTCGAGCGTTTGGTTCGTGCTCGACTGTGTTCCGCCTATTGTTGTTTTTTAGCGAACACAAGGGGATTTACATCGCATGCATCGATTTGCATGTTGTAGGCTAGTTTAACGTCCACACTTGAAACCGCGAGTAGAGCCGCTCAGATTGTGCTCAGCTATAACGTAGACCCACAATAAAATTACCGTTCATGTTTAAATGAGGAGCCATTCCATCAGAGTAAACGTACCGCAACTGTTTGCACCGTATTTTCAAACCTATACGGGCCATGCACATCAAATACCTGAAATGCAAGTTTACAATTGAAGGAGTTTATGCCTTTAAAGGTATGGCGAGAAAAAAATCAAAAAAGTATTTCGCTTGGAAAATCGCAGATTACGTTCATGTGAGAAACTGCTTTCTCACATGAACGTAATCTGCGATTTTCCAAGCGAACTACTTTTTTGATTTTTTTCTCGCCATACCTTTAAAGGCATTAACTCCTTCAATTGTATACTTTAAGTGCGGTAAAAAAATTTAAATAAAAAAGTAGATTAAGTATTATTTTAGGGGCGTAAGAGAATTCCCCCTCTAACGCCGCCAAAAAAAGATGACGAAGGATAGTGCAAGCTTACGCTAGACATCAAAAAAACTACGTGTATTATCAGATTCTCATTTATGTATCGTAGCGCTCGTCAATAAAACACAGCGCTAAGGCGTCTCACGTGCCTCATAGTAGCGTGAAGAATGGCAGATATAGCTGGCGCTCAAGGATTTTAAATTCAGTTCAGGGCTCTTCATTGGAAGGACTTTCCATTTATTAGATTTTTATTATTAGGGAACAACTTTAAATACCAAATAACATTATAAGGTTTTTTATGAAAAAGAATTACTATAAATTTTATATATTGTATCTTTAGTGGCTTAACGGCAAAGAACGGACGTAGTCCTTCAATTCTTGCCATATAATAAAATTAAACTTAATAGGGTCCATCAAATTAGCTTTATTAAGTGTATAGTAATTGTATTAATATCATCAAATCATCATATGAAGACTCTCAAGGGTACTTTGCGAACAATTAATATTTTAATTACGCTCTTAATATTCCTTGTAATGGCGGCGCAAGAGAAGAATCATCATCGCATATAATTTCTTAAAATACACCATAACCCCGTGTGTTCCCGTGGGTGTAGTAAGAGATGACAGATGGAAACTAACCAGGCCATGTGGCAGCAGCATCTTCCTAATAACATAAAATATCGATATACTATATATAAGTATATATTTTGAATAATCGAATCCGTTAATTTCGATTATTTAATTGTTGTATTAATAGACAATCAATAAGCAACAAACGTGGCTACAATAGCATTCATGCACTAATGTTGTTTTTTTTTTTGACGTTCAACTAACTGTCCAGTAATACCGTTTTGGGCATTAGACTACTATATCTTGCAAAACATGACGATATATCAATATATCAATATTTATCACTTAATATATCCCCAACACGAGTATGGCAATTACTCTCTGTGGCGTCTCATAGACATGTGTATTTAATTTTTGAGAAATAAAAGTATTTATTATTATTATTATATATCGATACTTTTTATAAATATCGATACGATATATTATATATCTATATATTTTTTCGCCTGCCCATCTCTAGGGTGTTAACGCGATTTAGCAGCGCGGTTTTCTACGCGTCTTACAAGTGTTACCATAATATAACAAAGTCAACAGGCCGAATTTCGGTAACGCCAAATAGTCCCAATGGAGATTAGCCATCCACGCAGATCAGGATTATATGAAACGAGGAACACAGGTTCATTTTATTCCCCTACACTTATAGTTCGATACGACGGCAATCCTTTACAACCGGAGAAAAACCGGGCACAGGACCAAAGGCTCTATGCGCTTTCCTAAGCACGGAGATGACACACCTCCAACTTTCTAACATCTAACCGCTACCGAGAGTTTCTTGACAGAGAAACCCAATACCTAACTGATTTTAGCTTGACCCAGGATTCAAATCCGGAGCAACGAGACATACAAGCATTTTTATTCAATATAGGTGATAAAATTATTACTTATAGTGAAAGTTTTTTTACCACTGGTTAGGTAAAAAACCTCTGTCGTAAGAAGGACCAGCAAGAAACACAGGGGAATTTCTTTCGAAAGCAACATTTTACATTGAAATAACCGGGTTGTAAAATTAATTTTAGAATTTCATTATAGAAACAATTGGTCTTCCTTTCTTTGGAGATTTTCATCATTACAAGGTAACGACATTGAAACTATGTAAACTAAGATTATGTAGTGATGTAGCACCGTAGTAATCTAACTGCCATCTAAGATTAATTTCTGGACCATCTCAGCCACTAACAATATTACAAACCTATTAAATTTACTGTACATCTGTTGATTGCCCGCCTTCAGCAATGAACTTGAAAACTTTGAGTATAGTTTAATTAGCTTAAAAATATGGCGGAAATAAAATATAAATTAGGATAAAAATTCCGACTGACCTATTTACCCGACTACCTCAGAAGGAGGAAGTAATGTATTCGAGTGTGTGTGTGTGTATATCTATTTCTCGGGAAAGCTATGTAGACTAAGAGGCTTGATTGATTTTAACATACAAGGTTATTTTGCAATAGCTATTTGTTATTTAACTATTTACTAAAACGTAGTTATATACTCTATGCTATTTACTATGAATAGATGAAAGGTCATGAAATTTACGTCACTACGAAATTGTAATCAAATTTTTTGACATATTTTAGGCAATTTTAGTTAAATTTTATATAAACACGACAAAGGCAATTTACTCAGGTACAAATGATTTAAAACTTTATAAATAAAGCTCAACATTTCAGCGTGAAAACGCAGCCAGTGTTCCTGGCGTTATATCGTGGGGAGTAAGTATGGTTGTATGATATTATTTCACTTTTTAGTTTTATTTTTTTCATAGTAATTAATATTGTATATTCGAATGTAATAAAATTAATTTAAAAATTAAAATTTATTTACATAACATTCGAATATTATACAATATTTATTACTGTGACAAAAAAATAAAACTAAAAAGTGAAATTATATCATACAATCATACTCCCCACATAATGATTTCTTATATTTACGCGAACACTATACATTGATTAAAACTACTTTTACGGAATGATTTCTTATATTTACGCGAACACTACACATGATTAAAACTACTTTTACGGATTTAAAAAAAATAAACGCGATAAAATCCGTAAAAGTAGTTTTAATCATACTTTTACGGATTTTATCGCGTTTTATTTATATTAATTTTAATACCCGACGTTTCGGGTGCTTTCCAGCACCCATGGTCACGGGGGACTGCGGTGACTTACGTCCCGATGTCAAAGTTAACCCGGAGTACCTTCACCTTTTTGATTATTGTTTTTGGTCCGATCTACGCAGAATGAACTAACTGTATTTTGAAGTCTTGCAGTGGTATGCTTGGGTTTAGTTTTAATTTTATTAATTATAGGATTCCAAGCAGGTGGTAGTACCCAGCCTCCTTCTCTATTGAAATTAGGATGTTTTTTAATTTCAATAGCCTCGCGTATCATCTTTGGTAGGAATCGATGTTCTTTCGCGAGGATTTGTGGTCTATCAAATCTGATGTAATGGTTGGAGCCATCTAGAATATGATCGCTAACTGCAGACTTCCCGGAACGTGAAGCATCAACGTTCCACGCATACATGCTCGTCGGTTAAGGGTACTCCTAATTTGGCCCGTTTTCAATAAATCGCCAATTTGGTCGATAAATGTTCGCCTAGGACGTCCCTTTCCGACTCTGCCATTCACTTCTGCACCATAAATTTTCTTTGTCACTCTTTCCTCATTCATTCTTTCCACATGACCTAACCACCGAAGCATTCCTTTCTTAATCCTGGTCACAACATCATCTTTCTGCGTAGATCGGATCAAAAATAATAATTAAAAAGTTGAAGGTACTCCGGGTTAACTTTGACATCAGGACGTCAGTCACCTCAGTCCCCCGTGACCATGGGTGCTGGAAAGCACCCGAAACGTCGGGTATTAAAATTAATATAAATAAAACGCGATAAAATCCGTAAAAGTAGTTTTAATCAACATACTCCCCACGATATAATGCCAGGAACACTGGCTGCGTTTTCTCGCTGAACATTTGAGCGAGAAAAGAACCAGCCCTCTTATCACCAGCAGCGACGTCTAGTCGCTGATACAATCTTTTAGGGATTTCACTTCATCCCAATAACCAATAGTCTCTACAGCAAATAACTTTAACATATAATAATAATCTCAGATATTCATATACTTAGTTGAACTACCTATTTTAAATTTACTCTACTTAAGTTTTAATGTTGTCCATACTGTCATATCTGCCGTGTTTTTGCGGCGTTAAATAGTTCATTACCCCATTGGAGACAGAGGACTTATATGGGCCAATAAATGAAAAATTTATATTATATTTCATATCGAATAATTAAAAATTTTTAAAAAGTTTTAGGCGTTTAGGAAATGTACCACTAATTTTAAAAAAAATAGGTTCATGCATCTCCTTTATCGCATAAAATTGTTTAGGAATAAGACCAAAGACCTTATATTAAAATATATCATGGTATCTAAAACCATAATATAGTAAAACTAAAACAATTTTGACAGGCAACAATGGCGCTAGGTGGAAAATGCACATTTGGCGTTCGAATGCCCATAGATATCCACATGCTCAATGAGATCATATACAGAGAGGTAAAGCACTTTAGAAATTACAAGATATATCGACCCAATTTTAGAGGTAAGCACATTGATTCTAGATAACATTTACATTTTCTTATTAATCCTGCTAAATACCAAATTGTGATTATCGGCAGCTCATATGTGCTTAACTTATTAGAACTTTCGAAGATCCCTGCTGTAACTACAGAGACTGCCAAGAACTTAAAAGTTACACACACACACACAGACACACACACACACACACACACACACTCACACACACACACACACACACACACACACATATATACACACACACATATATATATATATATATATATATATAAACATAACACATATATCGCCAATTCGGTCGACAAACTTCCGCCAAGTAAGTCCATTTCCGACTCTGCCGTTAACTTCTGCAACATAAATTTGCTTCGACACTCTTTCCTCATTCATTCTTTCTACATGACCAAACCACCTTAACATTCCTTTCTTAATGCTGGACACAACATCATATTGCAAACCACACTCTTCTCTTATCACACAATTTCTCACCCTGTCACATAAATTCAGTCCTAACATTCTCCTTAACAACCACGTTTCTACTGCGTTTATTTTACTCTCGTGCTTCTTCAGCCACACCCAACTTTCACTACCATACGTCAAAGTTGGGACTAACACAGCATTGTGAATTGCCTTACGTGACTTTTTTGACACATGCTGACTTTCCATAATAGAGTGTAGAGTCCCGTTTACTCTATTCCCTGCGTTCACTTGTGGTTCTACATACCTACTATATCTCCCATCCCAGCTAAATACATATCCCAAATATACAAACTCATCTCCTTGCTCGACCAACTCTGCTTCTATTCTTATTTCACATATCGTTTTAGTTTCTTCTCCTTTAAAAACCATAACTTTCGTCTTACTTGTGTTCACGTTCATTCCCTTCTCTTTTAATGACCTGTTCATTAATGTAACCATCATTTGCAACTCGGCCGCCGAAGACGCAGATATTACTTGATCATCGGAGTACAAAAGGCATTTGATGGTCAACTCAATAATTCTTATCCTGCATTCTTCAACTTTCAAATTTTCCAAACAGCTGTCCATAAATAGGTTGAATGTAATACCTTTATGTATGCCAAAACAGTCCGAGTAGACCCCGTTGATCATAACACAGGCGTCACAAGCGTCCCTATAAAGAGACTTAATGTCTGTATCAACCCAGCGCTCAACCCAAATGAGTTCAGTGTTTGCCATAACATATCCCTGTCCACTTTGTCAGAAGCCTTTTCCAAGTTCCTGAACGCACATAAATCATTTTGGTTTTTGGCCAAAAACTTCCCTTTCAAAGTCCAGTTTGCACATCTCAAATTTCTCCATCAGTTTCTTTCTTAACTTTTTAAACTAATACCTTAGCATATAGTTTTATCACAATGCTAAGAAGGCTGATACCACGGTAGTTTTTACAGACCTGCTGCGACCCTTTTCCTTTATATATTGGGACTATCACGGCTTTGCATCAGTCTCCCGGTATCCACTTCAGTTCCCAACATTAAACAAGGTGTACATCAGGACTGCTACCACTTCCCCTCCCTCTCTACCCCTTAGCATTTCAAGTGATACTCTATCATAATCGACTGCTTTACCTGCTTTCATGCTTTAATTGCTTTCATTATTTTATATATATTTATCTCCCTATCCCTTTCCTCTTCTTTCAGAATTTCTATTTAATTTAATTCAAACATCTCGTCACTCATAAACACAATTTCAAAATATTCTTCCATCTCTTTTTACTCAAAACATCATCATCCAGAATACAACCATTCTCATCTCGTATAGCATTAATTCTATGCTGTTTTAAATGTCCCCTGGTAGTTCTCGCGAGTTTCTAGAACATTTCACTATTTGCCTGGAAGTTATCCGCGATATCCTTCTATCATTATTTTTCGTTCCCTCTTGCTTTTTTCTTTCAACTACTTCTTTTACTCTCTTTTTAAACGTCTAATGACTACCTTTTTTCTTTCAATATCATCATTCGAATTACCAGCCTTGATTGCCAGTAAATCTAGCCATGCTCCCTACTTTGATTCAACTTCCACACGTACCTCATCATCCCACTATAACGTTTTATTTTTCTTTTTATTCGTTCTCTTACTAACACTACATACTTCGGCAGCTGCATCTACCAAACCTTTCTTAACATTATGCCACACATTCTCCAAGTCTAATTCATTCGTACACAATTCCTCCAATCCACTTATATTTTCTCTCAGTTTCATTTGTACTTGTGTTTCACACCTTCATCTTGTAACCTATCTGTTCTTATATGCTGCAACGCAGTGGTAGACACAGAAGTACGGTACCGCCAACGTCTGAATAGATAATTAATTTGGCATAAGACCAAGTAATGATCCGTTTCTACGTTGGACTCCCGGCAAAGCTTCTATTCTATCTACCACTGTGCTCCTCATTCTTTGATCCACATTTATGAAATCTATCATGCTTCTATCATCACCTCTTTCCCATGTATACATGTGAATCTTCTTATGACGAAAGAAAGTGTTCGTCACAAAAATATTATTTTCCACACATACGGTGAGGGGGATTTTACCATTCTCGTTTATACTTTCATCACCAACTATTCTCAATATCCTTTCATAAACAAGCCTCTTAACCCCAAACCTGCCATTAAAATCTCCCAACATAATATTTTCATTTCCCTTTCATTTCATTAACACCATCCTTACCATCTCCCAAAACTGCTCTCGGATATAAGTGGGCTTACACATGTCTGAAGCGTAGACTTCTAGAACAAACAACTTCTTAAAGCTTACTTTCATTCGTATCACCCATAGCAGTCTCGGGCTTACACATTCATACTCTTTTACACATTCTTTCTGAAAGAATGATACCGACTCCGTGGCATGCCCGCTCAGTCTCGTTTACACCAAACCAGTACGCAGTGTATACCGATACATGCCATGTGTAGTGGCATCCTTTTCCTTCTGTTTCGTCTTATTTACACATAACACATATATTTCTCTATCATACATCATGTCGCATACTTCTTTCATCTTATCATTTATTGCTCCACATATATTCAGCGTAGCCAGACGGGTTTTCGTAACGTGCTTTTCAACTCCCCGGAAGAATAGTGGACCTCGTCACCAGGTTTCCTCCCGGAGATTCTTCGCACCCCTGCCCCATTAAAGGGGCGCCGAGAACGTGGGTTATTTCTTTTCTCTTTTGCCTTATGATACGAAATTAGGGGATGCTACCCCCTAGTTTCGCATTTTGATGTTTTCCCGCTCAACGCAGACGCAAGTCGCATCGCGCTAGCGTGGCACACGACTAAGGATAACTCAAAAACTGCTGGTCAGATCTTGATCTTGATCAAATTATTATGGGAGAGAACACCCAACACTCGACAAGCCTAATAGACAAATAAAAAAGAATCATCAAAATCGGCTTACACATTAAAAACACACAGTCGAATTGGGTACCTCCCCCTTTTTGAAGTCGGTTGAAAATAATATTAAAGTCCCTTAGTTTGTAAAAATTCTAATATTTCTAATGTTTATTTTATTTGTGAACAGTAACACCAGTTACTGGAAAATTCTACGCAGCCCATGACCAGTTAAAGGCGGAGACCGATGAGGAGACGCGGAAGGTGGATAATTATCATGTCAATGTGTCAATATCGAGAGCAAAGGGTCCACATAGCAAATATCCCTCACCGGCTACCGAGAACCAAATGTAAGACCACAAATTACATTTTTATCCATTTTCCTATTACACCCTATTGTAAGTCTGCTGCTGAACCTAAGTTTCCTAATAGGCTGTCGTGCTCGGTGGGGAGGGGCTCCCATCGCCTGTTGCAGCTTCCCTCTGCCTGCCGCCATTACACGACGTTTGTTAAAAGGAACAAGAACCAAAGAAAAAAAAAACAAAATCACATCGTTCTGTTTCTTATGTTATAAAATTGTAACAATGAACTTAATGTCCATTTGATCCAAAGTGTCTATGGACACTATGCACACAAGTGCCCATGGACATTTGCAATCAACTTAAAATAAAGAAGACTTCAGATTCATTCTCATCTCCGAAGAATGCCACACGGCCTGTAATCATACTTTTATCTTTTTTATAAGATAGGGTGACAAGCGAGCACACAGTCCACCTGATGGTAGGTGGTTGCTGTGGCCCATAGACATCTACATCTCAGTGGCGAAGCTTCCATTAAAGCCGAAAAGCCGGGCTTGCCTTATTAAACCTGAATCAATCAATAATATCAACTAATAAAATAACTCGTAAAATGTTTCAATGCTACCTCGTGATGACCTCGTATTGCCTTAGCGATACTGCTGCTGTCATAAAAAATGAGTTTAATAGAGCTAATAGTTGCCTCCCTCGCTCGCGTGGGCTTCTTTACGGGGCTTTCGAGAAGACGATCGCTCTCTTTCTAATCTATGGCAAAATATTCTATAATGAAATATAACTACGATTGTATATATAGCAATTAGTATAGAGATTTAAAGCCAGGCTTTTGGGAATAAATTTGTTAAAAGCGGAGGGGCGCGGGCAATACCTTTGCAAGTTCATTACACGTTTCAATGTTTATTTACTCTGTGTGCTTATCTTAAGCGATTTCATATTACGAGTTCAAAATTTATGCTTTTTTAAAGATTTTTAATGAAAATGGAGGATAATAGTGTTCTTTGTGATGAATTGAAGTGTGTTAAAGTGATAATCGGAGAGGAAATCTTTAAACTTTGTTGAGATAATACACAAGGTTAAGAGTGTATTTTAGGCTTATCAATTATCGCAATTAAAAACAGTTATTCGTACAATTAAAACGTTCACCAACATTTTACGTGGACGTAATTAAATCTTTCCATAAGAAAGCGAGACGATTCCACCTTATCTTATCTCTTATCCATTAGAATGTAAATAATGGTTTTTTTTAATTTTGTACATAGTTTGTACTTTGTTCGTGTTTTACTTTTGTTCATGTATTGTTTTGGATGTAAATATTTTTTTTCTTTCGCTTAAACAAACCCAAACGGCTTTCTTCAAAGCCAACGAAGCTATGCAATTGCTGATATGTAATACAATCTATCTAGCAGTGGTATGCCTTCTGTGTGCTTTGTTAAACACGTCCTTGACAGCACTGAATATGAAACTGAAGCGTGGAGACAGATCAAGATTGGTGTATTTTTATAAAACTTCTAAAAACAACAATCTATATTTTTATCAATTTATATCTTGGGCTTGCCCTAGCTTGGAGCTTTGCTTCGCCACTGCTACATCTATCCTCAATTACGAATCAAAATGCAGATGCGTTGTCATCCGTGAGGACTAAGATGGAATGCCTCATTTCCAGTAAAAAAAGGTCTCCGGTTCTCAACACTCCAGCTACAATTTTACGCTGGTATTCTGTGAGAGCGTGGTCCTTCCCCGGTCGAACCGACCCATTTGTGCTACAACTACTAATAGGATAGAATAGAATAGAATAGAATAATTTTATATTCAATATAGATTACAAGTAATTCTTATTGAAAGTCAATATTTTACGTTACCACTTGTTCGAAAAAACCTCTGTCCTGGGAAGAACCAGCAAGAAACCCAGCGGGACTTTTTTTAAATAGATTTTACAATGTCAAGGGTCACAAAATATTTTCAAAATTTATTTTAGAAACAGCTTGGAAGCGACCACCTCATACCCAGTGGTTATTATCAACCATGTATTCATTTATATCGTAATAACCCTTTTTATACAATTTTTCTTTAATTAAATATTTAAATTTGGTAATAGAGAGATCTTGTATATTTACTGGGACTTTGTTGTAATAGCGTATTCATTGCCCCAAGAATGAATTACTGACTCTGTGGAGTCGAGAAACTGGTAGCACCAGCTTGTTTGTTCCTGGTGTTTACAGAGTGTATATCACTTTTTTTACACTTTATTTTTGTGAACATACATCAAATTTTCATAGATATACTGAGAGGCCAAAGTTAATATATTTATTTATATAACTGCAGCATGGATCTACCACATATAAAATACTAATATACTGACTATTATATCCACATACACACATATAAACACTATAATATTATACCCACAAACCAAACCTCTTTATAACATAGCACTGCGCGCACTGTTTTGCGGCAGAACTGGTTCAGTGTGGTACCAAAGTGACGAACTCCTAGGCAAAACGGAAATCCTACCAACTCGTATATAAAATTTTGTGGTATGTTTTTAAGTTACTTTGATTTTTTTTAACCGTTTTGTTGCGGTATAAGAATATCCATTACTCCATATTATCCAGTGTGTGTCGTAATAGACGAAAGTGGCTAATAAAGCATATGAACTATATGATGCATCCACCTCTGTTTTCTACTTTGTGTTTTGTTGTCATATATAAAGTCATACGTGGGACGGGATTTATGCTCACCGGGTACCATGTACTTAGATGCGACCGAACAGATGGCCGTAAGCAGGGAGGCGTATGTCTAGTGGCCACACGCTCGAAAAATATCATTGTCGGATAACGCAAATATAGACGTTCATAAATTTGAATTGATTTGCGCTACTGTGTGTTTACAAAAGATGCTGCGGCAGCGTCTTCCTGATAGTAACTAAAAACTGCAGTTGCCAACCCGCTTGCCAAGCGAGGAAACTAAGGCAAATGTTGCTGATGTTCAACTACGAAGTCTTGATTGTCTACAGCCATGGTAATGACCATAGAATACTATAATACATATATAATAGAACTGGGGAGTGGGCGGAGCCCGTGTAGGCACTAAAATGTCACTAACATGTCAATTCACACGTATAAATGTCCACACGATATGTGTTTTGACGTAACAATCGTTTCCAAATTTCGCATACAAATTATTTAGAAAATACCAAATTGCTCACTATTAACATATAAATATGTATTAAAATTTAAACTATTTTTAATGACGATTTTGAACATTAATTAAAAGTCTAAAATGTGTAAATTTACTCAGTGTGTCAACACAGCGAATCAGGTTTGTAGTAGTGATAATACGACGTAATTGCTTGTATGTGTGCTCCCGGCGACGCCGAATCTCGTACAAAATAAGTTTGACAGATATTCTATTGTATATTATAGTATTCTATGGTAATGACAATAGTGTGATAATTTTGAATAAAACTATTTATACGGATTTTAATATATTTTTATTACTACTGGATAAAAGGATATATACCGCTTGCGTCATTCTCTTACATAAATGATGTGGTAGATTATCATCTTTGCAGATATGGCTGGTATACTGACCCTCTAGTACCCATGGATCGCAATGACCGTCGTTTTTACCACCCGAGAAGAGAAAGTGATCACACTAAAGTAGAAGTAGTCATCCTCATGTCCAACCCTAAGAAAAGAAAGTAATACATCAAAAAATACCTTTAAAACAAGATCTAAACAGCGTAAGTCATAGTTTTCTTATGATGCCACTCGTGAAATATTTGTAAAATACTAAATAATAATAAAGATTTTTTCAATTATTGGAAAACCTACATTATTATAACGGGCATATTTCTTCAGTCTTCTAAAGAGATTTGAAGTTACAGCCTTGATTTACACTGAAAAAAAGTACCTTTGATAACTTTATTTATATACAATATGTAACGTAATTAACGCACACCCTTAGACACCCCAATTAGTATATTATGTTATAATCATAATACATACACTGAATTTTTAGTTAAACATTTTCATGCACTGATTATTTATCAAATTAGTTATACTAATTCCGGAAGAATGTTGTGTTTACAGTACAAATCCACGAACGCAAAGTATTTAACGTGGTTGAAATAAAGTTCATTTTTTTTTTTTTTATTGAATGACAGAATTAGTAATAATACAAATAAAACTGCACTCTTAAAAGTTTTGTAAAAAATGAGTTTAATAGAGCTAATAGTTGTCTCCCTCGCTCGCGTGGGCTTTTTTGGGCGTTTTCGAGAAGACGATCGCTTTCTTTCTAACCTATGGCAAAATATTCTATAATGAAATATAACTACGATTGTATATAATATAGCAATTAGTATAGAGATTTAAAGCCAGGCTTTTGGGAATAAATTTGTTAAAAGCGGAGGCGCGCGGGCAATACGTTTGCAAGTTCATTTCACGTTTCAATGTTTATTTACTCTGTGTGCTTATCTTAAGCGATTTAATATTACGAGTTCAAAATTTATGCTTTTTTAAAGATTTTTAATGAAAATGGAGGATAATAGTGTTCTTTGTGATGAATTGAAGTGTGTTAAAGTGATAATCGGAGAGGAAATCTTTAAACTTTGTTGATAATACACAAGGTTAAGAGTGTATTTTAGACTTATCAATTATCGCAATTAAAAACAGTTATTCGTACAATTAAAACGTTCACCAACATTTTACGTGGACGTAATTAAATCTTTCCATAAGAAAGCGATACGATTCCGCTTATCTTATCTTATCTCTTATCCATTAGAATGTAAATATATTTTTTAATTTTGTACATAGTTTGTTTGTACTTTGTTCGTGTTTTACTTTTGTTCATGTATTGTATTGGATGTAAATATTTTTTTTCTTTCGCTTAAACAAACCCAAACGGCTTTCTTCAAAGCCACCGAAGCTATGTAATTGCTGATATGTAATACAATCTATCTAGCAGTGGTTTGCCTTCTGTGTGCTTTGTTAAACACGTACTTGACAGCACTGAATATAAAACTGAAGCGTGGAGATAGAT